GGTTCATGGGGTCACGAAGAGTCGGACACGACTTAACGACTAAACAACAACAACAATTTACAATATTTTTGGTGGTTCATAGAACTCTTATGCTTCTGTTAAGAAAAGGAGACAGCTGGAATTTGTAAGCTTAGTAATACTCAAACATCCAAGCTTGATTACCTGAAGCCTTTTTTTTTTAAAGTGAGTTCCCAATCTCAAAGTTGCTTATGCCACCTTGGGCCATTAGTTTGAGAATCCCTGAATTAAAATGTGTCTGTCCATTGAAGTATTTCATTTGGCTGTGTGCTTTTATCATTTTTGAATGCCCAGGAAGAATCCGCTTTTAATGCATGTTTGCATTCTGCATTTCAGAAGTTAACTGTTTTTAGTATAGATATATACAAAATGGGAAATGTGCTTTGCTTCAAGATCAGAAGAAAACAACCTCATTGAAATATTTCATTGGAACACTCTCAGTTGGATGTGTTCTGCTGGAACTTGAAATATTTCAGGTGTTCCAGTCATAGAAAATGAGAATTCAGAATAAGCCTTTACTTTCCAGCATCAGGTTCACAGACATAAGCCTAGCAAAAAACAACAGCCTGTGTGACTGTTTTATGACTATTGAAAAAGTGCTGTAGCTTTATTGTTGCTTCAGTAACAAAAAAACTTTACAGTACAGCTAAAAAGAAAATCATTACTGCCTCAGGCTTTATAAGCTCAGTATCAATAGGATGCAAAAGTGTGCAAATGAACTCCAACCATCATTTATTTATTTAATAAATTTATATGCTGTCCAACTCTCAACAATTCAACTTTGACTTCCTTCTAGTAAAGAATTTAATAGTAATTTTTCTAGACATGCAGCTAACTTTTCAATTCTGAGTTACATGTTTAGTAACTATTACTTTGCCCCAGCATTCTAACCTCCCTGCTAAATCATCCCATCCAAATGCAACCCAATAGCAGCAGGGTCATGACCAAACCTTAGTGCTATGCTGGCTAGGTTAGAAAAATTTAAAAAGCAACAACAGCAGTAGCTGTTCACATACTAAGCCAAAGATACATAATGTTAGCACAGTGATGGCAAACCTTTTGGACTCGGTGTGTAAAACATTTGGAAAATGCCTAACTGGACTTGCTGGCATGTCACCCCACCCCCGACCCCGAACAAAAGAGAAACAATTCTTTACATATTTATGTATTTTAAAAAAATACAGTCCAATCATGTGTGGTGCTATGTATTATATAAAGAAACA